CAGTGGGTGGTCCTGCATCTCCCCGTGCCCCCCGCGGCGCGCTGCTCTTGCGATCAATGCAGAAGGCGAAAATAAGGCAACAGCGGCGCGCGCTCCCCGCCACGAAGGTTCGACGAGGCGGCTCCTGCCTTTGCCTCGGCTTGACCTTTCTCCGCCCCCGCCCCCCTCGGGCTCGTCTCCCTCCCCCCCAGCCGCCCCCGGCCGCGGCGCAGAATGTCACCCCGGGAGAGCCGCCAGGTGGATCTGCCCGGCAAGGAGCGCGAGCCTCGGACTAACAAAGGGAGGCAGCTCCGCCGCGCGCCAGGCGGCGGTGGTTCGGTGCTGGAGAGGATGGTGGGGCCCGCTGCCTGGTTCCTGCCTCCGGATTCCGGGTTCGAGGCGAGCGTGGGAAAAGGGGGGGCGGGTCGAGTGAGAGCTCTGGCGAGCGAGGGAGCGGGAGCCAGGGACGCTGGCGAGAGCAGCGGAACGCGCAGGAATTGGCTGTCTTCTGCGGCGACTGGTGGCAAGCCCCGCCAAGCGCCGCGGCGGATGGTTAAGTGCTTTTGCCCTTCCCGATTATTGGTAAAAAGAGAGATGTGAACATTTCTGGGACTGGTATGTAATCTCGCGAACTTGCCAAAAAGTCTGGGGGTCTCCTCTGTCTAGGTTTAGACCCAACTCTCTTCCCCGTCCTTTGCGACTGGCAGGCACCTGGAGAACCCTTTCCTAAGCGTCAGCGTCCAGAGGCGCGCGTCTCCGTGAGGGCGCGGCCCCTTCCTCCTCCTCTCTGCGCATCTCTGCGCATCGCGGATGTGGTGGGAACCACTCAAGGTGTCCGGGTGAGGGCCAAGCGATTTGTGGAGAGACCCGGAGATGGTCGCGGCCAGCCCTTTTGGTTTTCCCGAACCCCGCCCCCTCAGGCTCTAGGCATCTTTCTGGAAACCAAACCTATAACGCACAGAACCACTAGATGGCGGGAACGGCGAGAAGTTCAATAGACACCCAAGGATACATGATCTGGAAAGGCGAAGGTTGAAAATTAACTGACTCAACAGAGGGTGGGAGCGCATAAACATCTCCAAATCCCCCGCGACGCCTCCACTTTTCAGTGTTTAGACGAGTTACCTTACGCAGACATGGAACTGCATTTTGATGAGGATGGAATGAGGTGTGGACAGGGCCCTGCTGAAATGCCTTTGAAATTAAATCTAACTTACCGAGTAGTAGTAGTAATAGTGGTGCCCAAAATTAAAATATTTAAGTCCCAAGGAAATAGCATTCCTCCATATCGATCTCTCAGCGACCTTATAGGGTAACGTAGAACTGCCCCTGTGGATTTGCGGGTCTGTAAATCTTTACAGGAGAGTAGAAAGCCTCTTTTTCTCCCATACGGCAGGCAGCTGGTGGGTTTGAACTGTTTACCTTCGGTAAAGCAACCCAACATGTAACCCACCATGTCTTTAGGGCTGCTTGTTGCTGTTAGATGCTGCTAAAGCAGTTCAGACCTATAGGACCCTCTGTACAACTGAACGGAGCACATCCTCGCAAGATTCATGTTTGAACTTCTGGTTGCATCCACCGGTCAGTTCATCTCCTGAGTTTCCCTCTTTTCTGTTCCTAAACACAAAACTTAGTGTCATTAATTGGATTCCCACTGGCCATGATCCTATATAGGGTTCCTGAGAAGGAAATTTTCTTCTCAGAGAAAGGTTGTTGGTTTCAAACTGCTGACCTTGCAGTTAGCAGCTCCAGGTAAATCCACCACACTGACAGGACCTCTCCCTTATGAACGCCTATGGATCAGAATCAACTGACTAGCAGTGAATTTTGTTTTTTGAATTTGTCTGTTTTATCCATATTGATTTCCAAGCCTACTCTCTGCTTGGAAATGACCTTTTGTAGGGTTGGTTTTGCCTGCTCTTAGCTTGCAATGTAAGTGGACTATGAGACACAGTACAGAAATTAACTTTCGAGCCCTAGACGTTATCAGCATTATATGTCAACTTAGAATCTGAAGAGGGATAACCTAAAGATATGCACTAAAATAATGATAAAAACTCAAGGAGAGAAAACAAAACAAATCTTAGGATGTACAGGATTTTCAGTAGAGACAGAAAAGTGACGTGTTTTACATTTTCATTATTTGTATAGAGATTTGCAGTGTTCCGGGTTTGAGTTATGTTAGGCGTTGAAGAGATCTAGTGGTACAGTGTAGAAAGCACTGGACTATTAACCAAGACGTCAACTGAAAGGTTGGCCATCCAAACCTTCTGTCCACCGAAGAAAGATGTGTCAATCTGCATCTATAGTGATTTACAGTCTTGGAAATCCCTATGGAAAAGGGGTTTTGTACTCAGCCCTACAAGTTTACTAGGAGTCTGCATAACCCCCAGCAGTGGGTTTACTTTGGGGTTTAGGTTAAAGTTAATGACTTTTGAATGAGTGCACAATATAAATTTCAGGACAAGGAACTGAAGCTGCTTACTGTGTATTTGTTTTTATTAGTTGAGGTGAAGATGTTTGTTTTGTTGTTTTTTTAAACTATGTGGCCTGTATATGTGCCTAAATAAATAAAGGTGAGTTAACTCGAAAAGAACAAGACAGATTTACCAACCAATTAATATAAGAAAATCAACCCTTTTATAAACAAGAGGAGAAGTTAGCACTGTGATTAGCTGGATGTACAAAGAGCTGGGCAGGGCATCTAGATCGTGAGGAATCATAATTTATCAACTGAATCCAATACTGGGTAGCCATCCTGTAGAGATGGAACAAGCTACCTAAATAGAGTTGCTAGGTAGACAGATTCTGGGCCATTAACATTTCCCTCTAGGGAAGTAAATTCTTAAAATCATAAACTTAGAAGCTAAATTCCATGAGAAAGAGAGAGAGAAGAGGAGAGGAGAGAGAAAACATTTCCAATAAGCAAGCAGAGACATTTTGGAAATTTTCAGAAGGCGCTATAATGTGTCCTCCTCCACCTGCCATCAATTGTTCAGCATAGTAAATGTATGCTTAGCAAATAATTTGCGAGGCTGAACTATGTGAATAACAGATATCAAAATTGAATGAAAGTTCAATGACAACCTTTGGGATGCAAGTGACACAAACTTGCTTGCTGAGCGCTAAAAAGGACTGGAAGCCCTTACTAATGACAGTCAAAGACTACAGTCTTCAGTATGGATTATAACTCAATGTTAAGAAAACAACAATCCTCAAATAGGCAACATCATCGTAAACAGAGAAAAGATAATTGTCGAGAGTTTTATTTTAGTAGGATCCACAATCAAAGCCTATAGAAGCAGCAGTCAAGAAATCAAACAATGGTTTGGGCAGATCTGCAGCATACGACCTCTTCAGAGTGGTAAAAAGCAAAGAGGTCACTTTGAGGACTAAGGTGCACCTGACTCGAGAAGGTATTTTTAGTCACCTGAAATAACTTGGGAAAGCTGGACAATAAATTGGCAAGTCTGGAGCAGATTTTGTGTCCCAGGGCACCTGACAACAGCCTCATAATCTTCACTCCTCTAGTCATACATTTCTTAATATAGCAGAAAGAATGGAGATTCAAAATCAAGCCCAAGAAATTAGTTCTTAGGTTTGTGGAAATTTCTTAGCTGATTAACAATTATAAATAATAAAATGTTAGCTCTTCAGGCTTTTTGTGAGGGGTTAATAAGGTAACTGTGAATGCCAGTTCAGTCTCCTACCATTTTAGTGTTTGATATTAAAAGGGCCCTAGTGGAACAGTGGATTAAACTTTGGGCTCTAGAGCCATTGTGAATTAGAATCTAGTCAGTGACAGTGGGTGTTTCGTATGTTAATTGTTTTTAAGGTTAAAAATGCAAAATGGGAACATGTTCGGTTTTATGCAACTTGGTGTCAGAATCAACTCAATGGCAGTGAGTTTGGTTTGGTTTCTGTTTGTATTTAAAACTCTCTCAGACCCTTTTTGTAAATTTACTCCTACCTCTGAGTCCAAACATTCTGTTGTGTGATATGCACAGGACCTTGAAATTTTGATATTTACTCATACACTGAATGTTGAATGAAAAGGGTTTATACAGCATTCAACAGAGCTCTGCACATGCCACTTCTACCCATGCTTCCCTCTTGTCCTCTTATTTTATATGTGAGTGGGTTACATGGTAAACAAACTCATCATATTGAAACTTCAGTTCATTACTTTGTCAGTCACCTATGCCTCCCCCCCCCCCTCCGCTTCTTCTTCTGATGAATAAATACTAAGGAAGAAGCCCAGTGTTTATGAAATACTGTGTCCCGTTATTCAATACCCCCAACACGATCCCGCCTCCAATGACATTTGGTCCTTATGCGTTCATCTGTTCTCATCAGTCAAACTTTTACACTTCACTGAGTTATGTTGTCTTAGGCTGGGTTCTCTAGAAAAGCAAGACCATAGATGATAGATAGATAGATAGATAGATAGATAGATAGATAGAT